TTTCATCGCACAAACGATCACTTGAAATCCAAAAAATAGCTCTCCCTTCGAATCATCCCGACTTGGCTTCCTCTTACACTGGTATCGGTTTGGTGTATAATAACATGGGCGAGTACTCGAAAGCACTTTCATCGTACGAACGATCACTTGAAATCCAAAAAATAGCTCTCCCTCCGAATCATCCCAACTTCGCTATTTCCTACAACAACATCGGTTTGGTGTATTATACCATGGGCGAGTACTCGAAAGCACTTACTTATTACGAAAAAGATCTGGAGATCAGTCTGAAAGTTCTCCCTCCGAATCATCCCGACTTGGCTAAGTCCTACAACGGCATCGGTGTGGTGTATTATAACATGAGCGAGTACTCGAAAGCACTTTCATCGTTCGAACGATCACTTGAAATCCAAAAAATAGCTCTCCCTGCGAATCATCCCGACTTGGCTGCTTCCTACAACAACATCGGGCACTTGAATTATAGCATCGGCAAGTACTCGAAAGCACTTGCATGTTATGAAAAAGCACTTGGAATGTACCAAAAATCGCTTCCTCCTGGACATCCTGATATGGTACGAACACAAAATAACATTGCACTTCTGAGAAAAAAAATGTAATTTTTTTTGTTTTAAAAAGAGAACATAAATTGGCTATTCATGAACATAAGGCTCGCCGAAGCGCACTAGCTGCAAAAATTTCGCGCACGCGCTACCAGGAATACCCTCCGTATTGTGTTGGGTTGTACGGTGGACAAAGTTGGCAGTGATAAGGCAAACATACATTTATGTATTTATGACTAGTACATCTATGATCATCATCTTCGAAAAGACGATGATCAGATGGACGCTTCTAATCATACATGCATAGACGTATATTATGAAGGCCTACCATCTCCATACCTGTACAGGTTACCAACTGAACGTCGGATATTCCTGAGAAGGTTAATTTGATTTAGAGCCACCCTCAAAAGCTCCATTTGTCTTAAATTTTTGTTCTTCTGTTACGAAGAACGAGAAGAAGCAGAAACGGAAGGAAGAAAATGTAAAAAAAGATGGACAGACACGAGAAAAGACGACGTCGACATTTACGGACTGATAATAAAACGCAGTGCATGATAACAACAACCGGTTTGTGTCGATATGAAAAAAATATCGAGCGCACAATATCTTTGTCGTCTTTAAACATTTTGTGTTCAATTTATTTCGAATGTGTTAGAAAAACTTGAATGTTGTGCGCTCGATATTCAAGCAAATGAATCACGATTGAACAAGACAGAAGAAAGAAAAAAAAAGAAAGAGAAAATTTCAATTTAAGAATGAAGATGCGCATCATTTCTTTTTTTCTTCTTTATACATGTTGAATTTTATTGAAAATTCAAATTATTAATCATTAAATCATTAAAACAAATATCTTCATTTAAAGGACCATCTCTAAAATAAAAAAAAGAATAGTTTCTATCTATAGAAATAAAACAATATTTATCTTTATCTAATGACTCACATTATTTTTTGTTTTTACTGTTGATATTTGTCGTTTATGTTTCTTATATATCTATCGTTATCATTGATTACGATATTAAGTGAATCGAAAAGAGTCTAGGATATTGGAAGGAGATGCGACTTTTTTGTACGTATCTAAGATCGTATCTTTTTTTAAAATTTGGTATACTTTTGAAGACAGTATGAATTCTATCAGATGAAGTATAACATTATTTTATTAATGTATTTTAATACAACGAATAAAACAAAAGTATCTTATTACAAAAGCATAAAGTTATCTATGAGAATATTAAATTAAAAAATTCATAGGATACGTAAATTGACAAATACAACAATAATTGTTTTAACATCTATGTTTTAACATTTAATCCGCTTTCGAGCATCATAGAATACAAATCGATATTGGTAATTTGTAATACAAGAAAAAAAAGATTAAGAAAAAAGAACTTTTTATATCATTGAATAATGGACATGAAATTGACTTAGTGTGTTCTATATAATAGAACGAATTGTTGTCGCAGTTCGTTATTGATAAGAGATCGTTGAAAGGCAAGTTTTCTCCTTTCCTGTTCTGCAGAGCAGAGTAGTGCTTATACATTCAGCTTGTCTATTACAAGAGCATATAGTAGTGGAGGTACGCTAAAAAAAGTTGCTTATTTTGGTGTTCTTTATGAATTGTAAATACAAAATATAAATTTAATTACACAAGTTTACCAGTACACTTTATCAAAAAGATCTGGTTTTGAATGTTTCGCGCCTGAATTTTAATTTTGTTAATCATTAGTATCAGTATACAAAACATCATTGTTAAAAGAAGACTATTCGAATATTTAGACAATGAAGTCTATAATGATAATTCTAAAAAGTAATATTTTCGATTTTTCCGATTTAAATTTTTGTTTTGGAAAACTTCAACTATTTATCCTCACTTGTTCAATTAAGAAAAATCTCTCTAGTATTCTCTCCTTGATTATAATGTGATATAAAAAAGCTTGTGACCATTTTTAATTGAGTTACTTACATTATATATATATATATAATTTGCAGAAAATGTCACAAGCGATTTAAAGATATATTATAAAAACGTGAGTACAAATGAGCAACAAAAATCAATAAAGATTATCAAGGTGGAACAGTTAAGATCTGATTTAGTTCGATTAAATTGATGTTTTTAGCAAAATAAACGAGAATAAACACTCGATGTTTTTTAATTTTATGCCAACTCAATATCTTTAAAATCAATGGCATCAACAACTTCAGAAAAATGAAAAACATCACTTGTTTGTACTGATTAAAGTAGACTTCGTCCTCCAAATGTACCGATAGTCTTATTTGAACAATCAAGTTTTGTATACTGACATCAATAATAGAAGAAGAAAAATAAAAATCACGGTATAAAACGTTCAAAAATCGGCTTTTTCGAATGAATGGTTTTCAAAATTTTTTGATTAAATTGATTTTTTTATCACTGATAGTGAATAGAAAGCTGTTAGCGCAATCCCTTGCAGGATTAAAAATGTGATACACGATGTAGCTGCTATTGCCGATGTTCTAAAAGATATTGTTTTTTATGCATATGGTCATAGAAACAAGTTACATTTGTTCATTGATGATTAATAAAAAATTGATGAGTTTTAAATAAATTTATGATTTTTTCAATGTTACTCGACAATAATTGACATTCAGAAACAATATAAAATTGAAAATGTGTTATATTAATTGTGATATCAGGCATACAATATTGATAAATAAAATTTGTATCAACAACATATTCTTTAATCATTATATCTAAGGATGAATACATTCTATAAATTTGAAGATGAAGTTTAAATTTTTAGATATGATTTAAATTATTAAGTATCCATGTCAAATAAGTAAACTCCAAATCATTCTTAACAAAAACTTTTAAAATAAAATAGTTCAATTCTGGTACCTAGAATTATTAGAAAAAAACAAAAATCATTTTTTGAATAAATTGTTCTTATTAGAAACCAATTTTCTCAAAGTTCGATGTTTACAGAATTCATACTAATTAAAATAAAATACTTGCAATTGTTAAAAACAAATTTCTAGTTTAGTTTCTCTAAGTTTTCTTCGAATGTTCTAGACACACATGCGAGAGATGTTCATGATGCTGTTCGTATTACGATAGTGTCATGACTAGAACTCATTAACAGGTAGATTCAATTGATAGTCGAATATCTCAAGATGTTTTGTTTTCTAATGATTTTAAGAAAGATAAAAAGCTAATCATAATAAATTCATCTTACTTTTTTCAAACCAATTTCTATTTGATTTTATTAATGTTTCTATATTTGACTTGGATCGAGGTTCAAAATCCATCCATCCTTTAAAAGTGACTAATAATCGTTCAATATTAGGTATATGCTCAATAAGATATTCAAGAAAACACGTATATTTAAGACAAACATACAAATGTCAAAGCATTAAACAACAATATTGCATTTTATTAGATATTGAACTTGCAGAAGAATGAGAAGATAGTATTAAACATTGATGAATATTAACAGAAGAATTATTATCAGCAATATCAAGTCGAAGATGTGTTAGTTGACATTTATTAGAAAAAAATTGATGTATCAACTGTTTAAGCATCATTATTGGTTTCCCTAATTTAAACCAACGAAAAACGAAACTAAATAAAATATTCCATCATGAATATAATAAATCTAATAAATTATTGTAAATGTTCAAATAAATTGTACGTATTTATTTTATTCAGTCAACTCAAATTCATTTGGTTTGTATTTCCGAGATGTGAACTATTGAAAACATACTTCCCATTATGCAATTAGACGTGAGCAAGACCAATGGTTTTCGATCTCACGGGGATATGCTGCTCTTACCGAATCTTACTTGAATTCAGGAAGAATAAAGTTGGGCTCACTTGTTGAGGGTGTGGGTGTTTATCGTCTCTTCGCTCATATCCACACTCACACCTACACACAGGCCGAAACGCGTCGTAAGATGCTTGGAATCAAAAATTCAATTTTATACATACACATCCACACCCGAGTTTTATCTTAAAAAAGGCCTTGAGTTTTGAAAAATAGCCTTGCTTTCGCCAAAAATATGACATTAACATAGTAGGACTTTTACTTCCAGCAATCATCTCAATTTCTATCGTATTTTTTCAAACTCTTCAAATAACTAAAGCTCTGAACAAGATCAAACATAAATGTGAAGAAAACAAACAAAAAAGTGAAAGCTCTTGAGTCATATATATTTTCAATGAATTTAGAAATGAAAGAAAATATAGAAAAGTCTTGAGTTGAAAAATAGTGAAATTGATTTGTCAAAGACTCAACGAACTGAAACAAGTAATTTTCATTTTTGTCATTCATTTAGCTAAGTTGTAAAGGAGAAAACAATGGATTTAAACACTAAAGTCCTTGTTGTTTCGCCATCATGCAACATTATTCACTTTGAAATAGGCAATTTCATGGAAGAGCCTCACATACTAAATATGAGTCTTTTTTCGGAATCAAACAAGTTCTGCATAATTTGAGGCACTTCTGAAAAAATCGTGCTCAAAACTAAATCATCGAAAACGAAATAGTTTTTATTTAATGAATTTTATGCAAAGAATCCATCTGGATGGGGTAGTATGGAGTGTGGGTATGTGAAAAGATAAATTTTTTTCTGTTCATTCATTCCTGTTATACAAAGTACAAATGGCCTTGAACGGAAGCTATCACTGAAGGAAGTTCCCGTGTAAGTTATTTTTGCTTGCATTGGTGTTAAATTACCTATTTGATTTATATAGAATTAAAGAAAAATAGAGAGAATTTGCTTGGTAATAAAAACGAAACTTACTTGATTGATTGTATCTAATAATTGATAAATTTTATCTAGATTAATAACATCATTTGAAAAAGTATTTGTGTTTGTGTTATTTGTAATAAACTTGAACATGTCGAAATATTCGAATTGAATAATAAATTTAAAAAAAGAAAGAAAAAAGACATTGGGCTGTACAAAAAAACAACAAAAACCAAAAAGAAAAATTAAAAGATCATTCACACAAGGTATCAATTGAAATTTAATATAAACGTATCTATTCGTTTTTTTTTCTTTTTCATTAACACTGTCATTCT